ATACCTAATGTAAATGATGAGTTACGGGTGCAGCACACCAACATGGCACATGTATACATATGTAACAAACCTGCATGTTGTGCACATGTACCCTAGAACTTAAAGTACAATAAAAAATAATAATAAAAACAAATCAATAATAAAAAGAAAGAAATTATAAAAATAAAAAAATTAAAAAAAATCAGTAAATTGCTTTAGGCAGTATGGCCATTTTAACAATATTGATTCTTCCTATCCATGAGCATGGAGTATTTTTCCACTGGTCTGTGTCAACTTCAATTTCTTTCAGCAGTGTTTTGTAATTCTTATTGTAGAGATCTTTCACTTCCTTGATTAGTTGTATTCCTAGGTATTTTATAATTTCATCGTTATTGTGAATGGGATTTTGTTTTTGATTTGGCTCTCTTTGTGAATGCTGTTGACGTATAGAAATACTACTGATTTTTGTACACTGATTTTGTACCTTGAAACTTTGCTGAGGTTATTTATCTGATCTAGGAGCTTCTGGGCACAGACTATGAGGTTTTGTTGGCATAAAACCATATCATCTACTAAGAGAGATAATTTGACTTCCTCTCTTCCTATTTGGATGCCTTTTTGTATCTTTTTGTTGCCTGATTGCTCTGACTAGGAATTCCAGTACCATGTGGAGTAGGAGTGGTGGGAGTATGGATCTTTGTCTTGTTCCACTTCTCATGGGGAATGCTTCCAGCTTTTGGTCATTCAATATGATGTTGGCTGTGCGTTTTTCATAGATGGCTCATATTATTTTGTGGTATGTTCTTTCCATGCGTAGTTGTTTGAAGGCATTTTCCAATGTGGACATATTCATGACAAATAAGCACATGAAAAATTATTCTACATCACAGCTATTAGAGAAATGCATATTAAACCATAATGAGATATGGTAACATATATTTGAAAAAGATATTTAAAAGACATGGCTGGACACTGTGACTCAAAGCCTGTAATTCCAGCACTTTGGGAGACTGAGGCAGGTGGATCACTTGAGGCCAGTAGATCGAGATCAGCCTGGCCAACATGGTGAAACTCCATCTCTACTAAAAATACAGAAAAAAAAAAAAAATTAGCCAGGCGTGATGGTGCACGCCTGTAATTTCAACTACTCGGGTGGCTGAGGCAGGAGACTGGCTTGAACCCAGGAGGCAGAGGCTGTAGTGAGCTGAGATCACACCACTGCACTCCAGCCTGGGCAAGACAGTGAGACTCTGTCTCAAAAAAAAAAAAAAAAAAAAAAAAAACCACAACGACAACAACAAAGAACCATTACTAAGTGCTACGAAAGATGAAGAACAACTTTAAATCTGATATGTTGCTAGTGGGAATTATGAAAATGGTACAACCATTGTGGAAAATGATTTGATGGTGGTGGTTCCCTAAATCTATACATGGGCTAAGGCCACAGAACAGGACACATAAAGAAACAAAATTACTGTTAATTTAAATAATGAAATTAAAAATTAAAAAAAGCAAGTTGGAGTGATTACATTGAGTAAACTTTTTAAAACTTTATAGGAAGGAAAATTACCATGGATAAATAGGGACATTATGCAATGATAAAAGAGTTAATTAAGAAACAAGACATAATCCCATTAATTCACTTAAAAGCATTATTTCAAAATACGCAAAACAACATCTGATAGAACTGAAAGCATAAATAGTCAAATCTACACTTGCATTTGGAGACTGCAAAACTCCTCTCTGAGTAAATGGCTGAAGTAGACAGAAACTCTGCAAGGTTATAGAAGAAAATGACAACACAAGGAACTAACTTGATCTGATTGGCCTTTACTGGACACTCCACAGAATAAGAACAGAATGTATAATATTTTCAAGTGTATGTGGAATTTTTACCAAGATAGACCATTAAACAACCCATAAAAAATTTAAAACAACCGAAATTGTACAAAGTATAGTTTAAAAATCTATAAAGGAATAAAGTACAAATATAACAAAGGACATACCTATAAAGTCCCCAAGTATTTTTAAATAAACAACACATTGTTACTACTTTATGTTTAAAAAAATTCTTGAGGAAAACTAAAAAATATTTTCTGATAAACAAAAATGGAAATACGATGTTTTAAAATTTGTGGAATTCAGCTAAGGTAGTGCCTATGGAAACATTTATGTCCTTAAATGCTTACATTAGAAAGTAACAAAGGGCTCAAATAAAACATCTAAAATTTGCTCTTAAATAACCAGTAGAGGAAAAGTACATTAAAACTAAGGCAAAGAAAGAGATGGGGTGGTATAGATAGGAAGAGAAAAATTAATGAAATTAAAATTTCAGAAATTTCAGAGAAACAATAAATGAACTTTACAAAACCAATAGTTAGCTTTTTTGATAGATCAGACAAGTCCTAATGTCTGATGTCAATCTGAGAAATTAAAAAAAAATATTGTTGTTGAGAAGCATTGGCTTTGAACACAGCTAGAAATAAAGGCAACTATACACAAACTATAATTTGTCATGATAACTACACCCTTAATTTCTTGGAGAAGGTTCTGAGATCAGATTTTCTTTGAATTTCTCTTAATTTGTAAGGGACTGCTATGTGTCAGATGCTTCCAAATACATTAACCCATCTAATTTGAAGATAATCCTGTAAGGTCAGCTGGGTGAGTTCACCTTCTTCACTCCATAGCATTTTCTGCAATTCCTTTTGCAACACCATCTGTCTTCTCAGTAGGCTGAGGATTTCCTCTTTGCATCTGATGCAGGGGCAGAATCCTACCCACCTTCTCTGCTACCCTCCACATGATTGCTGTTGTCTGAACACCTGTATAGGTGCCACTAGTCACACTGAAAGCCAGTATGTTCCTGGGGGCAGATGCCAAACGGGAGGCAGTGGAAGGCTGCTTCTTTTCAAATTCCAGCTGGTATGTCCACCAAGGAACAGTTTCTCACATCCTAGGAGGAGCCCAGGATTTGTAAGAATTCAGTTTCAGGAGATGGTTGCTCTTCTTCTACCTTTTATGAAGGAATGGGATTCCTGAGCACCATCCATTTGCCTGTTCAGTCCCCAGCTTTGAATAAGAAGCTCATTACAATCCTTCTGCAAATATGCTAGTGACTTAGACAAACTACTCTCTACCTTCTGTGTTGTATCCCAAGAATCAAGAGATTATGTGCAATGCAGACTCCACTCACACTCCACTGAGAAAACAAAGAGTATTTAGAGGACTCCCAGGGAGAGAGGACCAGGTGTCTAAAGTCACAGTCCAGAGTGGCTGTGGCTGTGGGACAGGACTGAGGTTGAGTGGTGGAAAAGTCAGGGAACTTTTGCAGGGGATAGGAATGTTCCATGTCCTGGGGAAGGCAGGTGATTCTGTGCAGCCTCAAGATGTAGCAGAGAAGAGCAAGCAGCAGGCTAGGTTCCCAGAGATGGAACAGAGGGTACATGAGGGGGACCAGATGAAGGGTGTTGTAATTCAGGAAAGTGCTGGAGACAGACAGAAATGCTGGCTTGGAGTGTACTTGTCCTATATGCTGAAGGAGAGAATCCAATATGTGGATGAGCACTTGTAGGCTCTCCCGTAACATGTTTGATAGTAGGTACTCAACAGAAAGTACCCAACAGTCAGCTCCCAGGGGAACCACCATGCCCCTAATGCTGTTTGATTCTCCTTGTCACCTTCTTTTGACCTGCTTTAGTACCTTGGCCTCAGGCTCCTTCTTTTTGTCACCTGAGAGACATGATGCAGTGCTGAGAAATAAACTACTTGCTACTCAGGAGGTGGGCGTCAGGCTGTCAGGAATGGGAAGAGCATGGGCTCCACAAGAATCACACTAGAGATCTGGTTCCAGCCCTATTACTAGCCATGTGATCCTGGGAAATGCCCAAGCCCTGTGAGCCTTGGGTTCTTCATCTGTGAAGCAGGTGTGATGATCCCTGTTCAATAGCACTGTTGGAGTGTATGCAATGTAAATGATGCACCTGGCTCAGGGCCTTGTGTAATTTAGAAGTTTAAAGAACGGCAGATGACTATATTTCTACTATTTGACCCCAGATCCTAGCACTCTTGGATTTTGTTCTTGTTGATTTCTCCAGGACTTATCAGAAAATATGCAGCTTATTAGGATCTGGAAGAATTACTTAGCCAAAAAAGGAAGTTTTGTCAATGAATTTCAGTAAGCTTACCCACTCAGAGGGTATACTTCAAAAATTCAATGTGCAGGAGTCTTCCTCAACTGGAATGCAACTCAGAGCTCCTAGAATATGAGTCAAGAATAAAGTCCTTCCCTCTCTCTCAGCTTCTTTTCCATCTAAACCACCATTTTCATTCACTATATCACCACCCCAAATCTTTCCCTTGTTAAAACTGGCCAAATTGCACTTCAGATAAGCTAATCAGAATGCCTTTTTAATACAGTCAGCTCTGGCTCTCACAACCAGGAAAACAAGCACATGTCCAGTGGCATCTGGGCCTCATATCTCAGCAGATTCATGCTTATCTCTCAGGAAACCCATGTGTATGATGGGTATCCATCACCAACTTTGTGTGCTGTGTTCAACCTCACTGAGACAAGAGTGCAGGATACCTCCCATTCCTGCCCCAGGAGGAGATGCCTCTCTGTTTCATCCACCATCCAAAAGGAACTGCTGAGCAGGTTTCCCTTCTAAGCTTTTCTCTTGTCCTCTGAGAATCTGGCTCTGGCCCCACCCCGCTTCATTAGAATCAGCTCACCCAAAAGGTACTGCAGTTTTCCAAAGCCCAAAAGGCCTTGGCTCAGGGCATGTACACTCCACCACTCTCGCCTGTTGCTCCACATGCTCATCCCTCTTATTTTCCTTTTAGATCTTAAAGGATACCTGGCCACCTTAGTTATGTGACTGCAGATACTAGACTCTACCACCCTAAGGTCAGGGGTGGGCCTGGCTTACCTTAGCATCTCCAGTACTAACCCAGCGCCTTCCAAATAGCAGAAGCTCAATGAATGTTTTGGGAAAAAATGAGCCAGTGAGCAGGGGGACTTATTTATTCATATTTAATTCAGTTTCATTCTCAAAGAAGCCAAGCAAATCCAGATACATAGGGTACACCAAGAGGTACAAAGAAGGCAAGAATTAACTATTGTTTAATTTCTTTATGTCTTTATCTCATGTATTTTACTGCTATGTTGTTTCACATTTCTAAAAAACCTTAATCCTCTGCTCTTATAGTGTCTGAATTCAATAAACAACATGGGTTTCCCAATATAAATGAAAAGCAAGACGCTTACTCCTAAACTATATAAAAAGCAGTAAGTCTGTCTACTGTCATACATAAAATGAATGTTGAAGTTCATTATACCATCCATTAAAAGGAACATTGGAACAATTCCAAAAGGAAACAAAGATAAACCTCCAAATCATCCAATGGAACAGGAACTGAGAGACGGTCCACACTGTGTTCCCTCACACCCAACATGCTCCCCACTACTGAGAACGGTGACTGCTCTCTTCAAACAGAGTGAAGAATAGGTCTCATGTAACAGGACAGGGAAGGGGTTGTTTGTGGCCCTGGAAAGTGCACTGGCCCAGGCCCTCCAGCAACCTGCGCCACTGACCCTAGCTGCAACTCCTGCTCAGACTCCTTTCTCCTCTCCTAAAGCCTCTTCATGCAGGGATGGGTATGAAATGCGAACTCTTGCATTGACCCTGACCACATGCTCCAGGACTTTCACATAGCTGGTTTCAGCGAGGGCCCTTGGACCCCACAGGAACTCATAGCGCACAGGATCACTGCCGGGCACCTGGCGGTACTCCAGGTAGTTCTCTTGCACCCACTCTTGGGTGAGCAGCTTCCTGAGCTCCCAATAGACACCATGCTCCCTCCCATCATACAGCCCCATCACACTCAATGCTTCCCAGATTGCCGCCTCTGGGGCGCAGCTGCCCTTCATTAAGATCATGCTCAGAACGATTATCAGGAGGCCGGTCTTGGGCGTGCTCTGATCATCACCTAGCAGGCCGTCATAGGAGAGGCCCAGGCAGGTGACAAGGACGTAGCAGTGGCCGGCGGGGTCCACTTCCTTCACGTCAATGCCAAAGATCACCTGCATGCACTCAGAGGCTTTGCTGAAGATCTCAGGAAAGTGGTTCTTGTAATTTTTAATGACACTCTCCAGCATTTCTGCCTTTGTGACCGGCTCCTTAATTTGATATTTGCGGAGCAGGAAATGAACTAACTCAGCCACTTTCTCATCAAGTGCTTCCCGGAAAAGGGACTCCAGGTGAGTTAGGTCTGGTGAGGTGCTCGGCCCCTCCTCTTCATTGCTGCTGGAAACCTCATTGGATTGACTCCATAGAGTGTCGTTGGTGATAGTCAAGGAAGAGGAGGCACCCCGAGGACTCTGGGGAGGACTCAGTGACCCAGAATCAGGCACCTCCTCCAGGGTTCCCGCGATCAGAGTAGAGGAGGAGGATGCAGCCTTCTGCTCCTCAGTTGTGGGAATCTGCACATCCATAAGCCCCAGTGCATCTCCTTGGGCCTGACGGCCTTCCTCAGCCTTGCAGGACTGACGCTTCTGCCGAAGAAGCATGATGACTCAGGTCAGGGCAGCAGGCGAGTGTGGGCTGGAGCTGGGCAATTGAGACCCACAGGCCTGGGGAGAGAGGAAGCGTGTGAGAGGCCTCAGCTGGGTACCACACCCTGGATGCCCTAACAAAGGCCTACTTACAGGTCTCCTTCAGTGCTCCTCTGGGGCCTCCAGACCTCCCGGCTGGCCTGTTGCCTGCGAACCTGAAAGAGGAATTGAGAGGGCATTTCAGGGTGCAGCCTCTGGACAAAGGCTATGGCTCCAGGACTGACAGAAGGGCTGGTAGAGCCAGGAACTGTGGGGTTCCTGTTGTTTTGATGCTAGAGGGGCCTCTAGTATACATACAGGGGAAACACCACCTCAGCTTGACTGCTGGTACTGCCTGGACCTCTTATGCTCTGTGACTGAAGATACTGCCTCAGACCAAGGCCTCACAGCCTGGTTCCTGGAGCTCCTAGAAATCGAGGGGGAACTCAGGCTGCAGACTGCAAGCACAGCCCCAGCACCCCAGTGCTGTCAGGAGGTTGAGCCTGACTCTATGAGCTCGCCACTATTTTGCGTGGATGGTCCTTTCTGTGCTCACTCAGGGCCCTCACCTTTCTCCCGGCAGGGCCCGGATCTGGCCCTTTTGCTGACCTGAGAAACTTTCAGATCAAGAGTTCACATCCCTGATATGGAAGAGAAGGACGTAAAGGGACCCACATCTGGCCCCATGTGCCCAAGGCCTCCTGGGGAAAAAGCAATAGCTACACAAAGTACATTGGGGTCCATGTGTCCTGTCCTAGGGTGAGAAAACAGCAATAGCTACACAAAATACATTGGGGCCCATGTGTCCAAACGTGAGGATCCTGGTTGGTCCTCATCTTGATGCCTCCAGGTTCTGAAACTCTCCCTGGGCTGACTTGAGGCCACTTCCTCAATCCAAGGACCTATCTCCAGGAGACACTGGAAGAGCAAGTGAGGGGATTCCATCCACCCACCTTTTCCTGCACTTCCCATGACTGACAGAAGGTGCAGGGAGGGGTTCAGTCCTGTGTATTTGGTGAGTGGTGTCCTTTGAGTCCCTGACTCCTGGCAGGTCCTTTGCCCTCCCTCTGCTGACCTGAATGCAGCCCCCTCAAACCAAAGCCTTCTTCTCCCTGAGGCCAATGAGTCTGGTATCACACAGCGGGCCTCAGCTGCTAGTCCTGCTCATGCTTTCTGGGGTGACAACAGAGGCAGGGCAGATTTCTGTTGGGCTCCCATCTGTTTTTTGCCTGCTAGGAGAACCATCGTGGCTATCCTCAATCTTCCCTCAGTGTTGTCACTTAGACTCTTGTAGATTCTTGGACCAGTGAGTCTGTTGCCCAGATGGGGGTCCTTGCTTTGTCCTGAGTCACTCTGAGAACAAGGTCCTCGCTTCCCTGAGATCCCAAGAGAGAAATGAGGAGCCATCACATCTAATGACCACTGGGTGGGGTGTCCAGGCATGACACTAGGGTCTGTCCCTACTTGTTCTTGAGTGGTGGATTCTAAGGCCTTCAGGGGGTTCTTCATGTTTCCCCTGATGGAGCCTGTCCTTCCTCAACCCACAACACGCTGATATGAGCAGACATCTCCTCTTACCATGAATACCTCATCTTCTTGAGTTTCCCCAACTTCCTGCCCATAGTACAGGTGAGATTGCCACTTAGGGCCACCCTTGATCGGGTTTCCCCAGAGATAATAACCAAAGTTAGCCAGACTTTGTGGGGTCCCTTCTTTCCAGGCCAGGAGTACCCCCAGTCATCACAAAGAGTACACACCTTGGGTCCTGCAGATGTTGTACACACCTTGGGTCCTGCAGATGTTGTGATCCTGTCCCTCTGTTGAACAGGTGTGGCTCCCTCTGCTGAGCTGAGGACGCCCTTCAGACCGAGGTTGCCACCTCCCTGAGACCCGGGAGGCAGAAGTAATGGGGGCACTACACGGACACCCCTGCATGGGATTCCCAAGGCTGACAGAAGTAGTAGGTTTCATGGGGTCTTTCTCTATCTGGGTGTCATCCAGTTATTCATATTTACTCCATGACAAGGCATGGCCCTTTCCTTCCTGCTGAACCATGGATGTGTCTTGCATGCCAAGGCCACCATCTCCTTGAGGCCACCGATCAGAAAGTTGGGGGGCCACTTCCCTTCCCCACAGTCCTGCCTGGAGTGCCCAGACCTGAGAGCAGGAGCAGGTTTCTTAGGTCAGTGACGGGAGGTCTGCTGAGTCCTCCTTAAGGGCTCTGGGGCACCTCTCTCCAGTGACCTGAGACTTCACTCCTCAAACCACAGCCCTCTCCTTTCTGACACCCTGAAAACCGCAACAAGGATGCGCCACATGCAGCCACAGATCATGGGACCTCCCTAGGCTGAGTTCTCCACTGATTTGGAGTCCAAGATCTCCTGAGTCCTCCCTCTTCTTCTTCTCCTTGACTCCTGGCAGGGCTGGGCACCACCCCCCTGCTGACTTGAGTCTCAGTCCCTCAGATTCCTGAGGCCAAATGTGGAGGCGCCTCGGTCTCAGACAGGTAGGGTGGGCCTCCTGTCCTGGGGTCCTGGGTCCCCTCAGGCCTCCCTCATCTCCCAGCATGGCCTGGGACCTCCCTCTGCTCCTCTGAGGCCGTGCTTATGAAGCCCCTTCGCTGCATCATCCCCGGATGGGGACGTCAGAATCAGCTAGCCCGGCCGCCATGCCCGGCCACCATGCCTGGCTGCCATGCCCGGCCGCCATGCCCAGGGCTGACAGTAGGGGCAGCGATGTGCTCTGTGGGGCCTCAGCCCTCCCTCAGGGTCCTGCCCTTGATGCCTGGCAGAACCTGGGCCCTGCCCTCTGCTAACCAGCCCTGCTCTGGTCACACCAAGCTCTCACTCCAGATTCCCCTGTGGCTTAAGCGCAGGGCTGGCTAGGGGTGGCCCAGCCAGACAAGTCTGCCCCCTAGTGGTCCAGGGCTGGCAGCAGGGGAGGCGCTAGATTATTTCGGGTTCTACATGAGGGGTGGGGGCCTCCTCAGTCCTCCCTTAGGGTCTCACCTTGCCTCCTCACAGAGTCTGGGCCCGCTTCCCTCAGTCGATCTCAAGCTGACCCCTTAGAACCAGGCTTCTCTCTGATCCCCGCGGCCACGTCAGTGGCGTCACATCCGTCCACCCAGGGCTCACCTGGGTGGACAGCAGGGGCGGAACCAGATTCCAGTGGGGCGGGGGATGAGGGAGGAGCGGCTCAGTTATCCCTCAAGGTTCTCATCTTGAGATCTGGCGGATCCTGGAGCCCCGTACTCTGCTGATAGTGTCTGCCTCCCTCAGCCCAAGGTTCTGATTCCAAGTCCCCTGAGGTGGCAGTGGAGGGAAGGGTGTGGAGGGGGGACAAGGCTGCTGGGGTCTTTCAGGGCTGACATGAGGGTCTGAGCTGAATTCTGTGGCCCGTCTATGTGCTGTGGGTGAGCACTCAGTCCTCACTCAGGAGGGTCCTCTTCTTGACTCTTGGCTCTTTTAGGAGATGCTCTGTTTCTGTCACCTCTGAGCATTTGCACAGCTGGACCCCTTGCAGAGAATGGCTGCGGGTCCCAGGCCAGATTCTCCCTGTGGGGTTGCAGCACCTATGATTGTAGTGACCTCTGGGAGAAGAGGCACACCTTCCCACGGGGGCTCTTCCCCAGCTAGAAGAGGATTTTGCAAACCTTTTGTACTAAATGATTTATTTTCACACTGAAGAAGCTGAGTAGCTGCAAGAAATTTGAGATCCTGAGTTTCGAAGTTATCTAACAATTCCTAGTTCATTTTCGTGATTTTCATATTTTAATTCTCATTCATATAGTAAGAAACAAATGTTAAATCTATGCCAATTGTATATGTGCATTACATTTATGTTTATATGCATAAACACGTATGTGTATGTGTATGTTCATATTATGTAAGTATAATTATATGTATGTATATGTATATATCTTTACAAATATTTATACATATATGTATGCCGACTATACATACTTATTTTATCAAACAATATCTACTCATATAATGTGTGATTCACTCATACTATTCTATTTCTAGTTCATTATATATATATGATTAAAGTAATAATATTTTGGAAAGTCAGTCCTAACCTACTTTTTGTTTCTAGTTGTTATCAGCAGAACTCTGGAGCCATAGTCTCTCAATCAATCAAATTTTCCTGGTGTCCTGATAGTACCCCTGGGCTACTGGCCTCGTGTTTTGAGGTGCAGACTCAGATTGTGCATTGATGTGGTATGGTCCTTTAAAACTTTTCCTGCAACTCACCCTGTCATCTGCAGTGCTTGCAGACCTCCTCAACCTCCCTGCCTCTCCACCTGCCCAGAACACAAGTGCCAGTTCAACACAGTCTTCAATCTTCCCCAGGGTTTTCTCTGTTTCGTTGTTTAGACTTTGTTGCTGATATTGTTGTTTTATTTTTCTTTTTCCCTTCTATATTTTTCCACAGTCGATTTTGGAAGTAGAACACAACAGCCTGGGCTTGATTGTCACTTTGGCAGCTACAGGTAGGCATTCACTCTTTATTTAATTTAAGTAAGATTTACCCCTTTTCCATATTCTGTTCCTCATCAGTGAACATCATATACTACTCCATTTATTTGGGAATTTTTTATCTGAATCTGTCAGCAAACTTGTACAGTTGCTTCTGTAAATGTCTTGCATATTTTGGTTAGGCTTCTTCTTCTTTATATTTTGGATTTAAATGCTGTCGGGGATGGTGTATTTTTAATTTTATGTTCTAAGTTGCTTATGTGTGGCAAGTCTCTTGTATTCGCTGTGATGGTCTTCGTATGTTGTCTTCTGAAGTCTCTTATTCATTTAAATATTCCGTGTGTCTCTTCCTTTGAATTTTCTTGATAGTCAAATTGTGAAAAATACTATCTATTTCTTTTCAATCTTCATACCTCTTTTTCATCTTGATATTCATAGCTCTGACTCTTTTTCATTTCGATTTTCAGTGCAGCTCTGAATGGTAGCAGTGAAAGCATACATCAATGACTTGCTCCTGACAAGAATGGGAATGCTTCTAACATTTCACATTCAAGTATGTTTCCTGTCAGTTTTAGAAAATTAAAGTGCCTTTTAATCTTCGTTTGCTAAAAATGTTAATTTGAAAATATAATAAAATTCATTTCAGAGGCTTTTTCTGTGTTTTTATTCCTTGCATACGAGCTGCTTGTTCATTAGTCCACTGTTGTGTTGAATATACAATTATCTCTTTAGGACATTTGCTGCAATATGAGTGAACACTTGGCTCACATGTTCATTTTATGAAGGCTGGATGTCTTTATCTGTTTTTTCTTTTTTTCTTTCTTTTTCCAATGCAGGAGAGGGAGCCTTGGAGAATTCGTTGAATAATTGCCCGTGTTTTGGGATTATTTGGAAGAGTTAAAATGGTGATTCGTTTTCCCTGACCACTTGGTGGAACTGACCCACAAAACTGCCTGCCTTAGAACAGTAGAGGGTGGATTGAGCTTTAAATACATTTTCAGTTTGTGGATGTACCATTGGTTTTATCCATTCACCAATTGGAAAAAGTCTTGATTGTCAATTATAAATAAGCTGCTATATATGTTTTTGTGTACATGATTTTGTGTGTATGAACCTGTTTCGAATTCTCCTTGATAAAACCTAGGAGTACAATTACTGTGTGTAATGGTAAGTCTAAGTTTTGCTATATTAGAAATAGCCAAAAGCCCTTCTAGAGTGAATGTGTTCTTTTTCTTCTCTACCAGCAATGAAAGATAACTCCACATCTTTTGTACAATTTGGTATTTTCAGGTTGTCGCATTGTATCAATTGTAACAGGTGGGTAGAAGAATGTTATTGCTGCTTACATTTGCATTTTTATTGAATAATTATGGTAATCATCTTTTCATATGCTTTTTTTGTGATCTGTGTATCTTCACTGGTGAAGTCTTCAAATCATTTACTATTTTATTGGACTCTTCATTTTTATATGATTGTGTGTTATAAGGTGTTTATTCATTCAGTATACAAATCCTTTATCCGATACAGGGTTTACAAGTATTTTCTCCTCATTTTTGGCTTTTTTCCCCATCTTTTGACTGTTTTTTTTTTTTTTAGTAAACATTTTAGAGTAATTTTAAATTTACAGAAAAGTTGTGAAGACAGTTAAGAGGGTTTTCCTATACATCATGTCCAGTTTCTCCTATTATTAACATCATACAATAATATGATACTTTCTTCATAATTCACAAATCAATATTCACCTGCACATTCCTGTCATTGTTTCAGGATCCCATCTAGGATACCATGCTACTTTAGTCATCATGTCTCCTTAGAATCCTCTAAGCTGTGATAGTTTCTCAGACTATTCTTGTTTTTGACGACTTTAACAGTTTTGGGGAGTATTGATCAGGCTATTTGTGGAATTACCCTCATTTGGTATTTGTCTGAGTTTTTTTCATATATAGACTTGAGTAATTGTTTTGGGGTAGGAGACCAGACAGGTGAAATGACATTCTCATTACATGATATTTTAGCACCATGACTCATCACTGTTGATGTTGACTGATCAACTGGCTGAGGTAGTGTTTGTCAGTATTTCCCTCTGCAAGGTTATTACATTCTCCCCTTTCTGTATTGTGCTTTATAAAAGAAAGTCACTAAGGGCAGCCCATTGGGTAGCAGGGAAGTATGGTCCACCTTCTTGGGAAGGGATAGTATTGACATGAATGATTTAGGATTCTTCTCAATGGGAGATTGGTCTATTCTCCCCCATTATCTGTATTTATTTAACCTTCGATTTATCTCAGATGAACTCATGGTAATTTATTATATGTTTGGGGTTATAATTCAGCACCACTTTTATTTTGCTGCTCAAATTGTTCCATCTTTGTCCATTGGAGGCTCTTTCGGTTGGCTCTGACGTCCCTTTCAAGCAACTGAGTCATTACACTTGTTTGTAGCTCTGTCTTACCTTGTGGTATGACAAGATGATGCAGGCTCATTTTTATATTTCCTGTTCCAGTCATAGAAGAGTCCATTTTCCATGGTTTTCTGCTTCCTTTTATGGGAGAAGAGTACTGGAATGTGAGAGGTAAGTGTTAGGCATGCTCATTGTTCCTGAGGATTTGTTATTCCTAGCCACTTCAATTCTCAGATGAAGGATATATATTTTTGTATATTAACCTGTGTATATACGCATATCTATAAGCAGAATTCTCAAATTCTCAAAACCCAATCCCTGTGGGAAATAGCTTTAGAAGTCAGACAATACTGCTTCAGTACAGTTTCTTTTAACTTCAGTCTCAGAGACTGACTTCCACAGGTACTTAGGACAGCACCATATCCCCAGATACTCATTATAGGTTGTTTCATAGATTTGTAACACAGTTATATTGTTTTTTCATGTTCTATACTCCACCTTGGCATTCCTCAACCTCCTAATTTTTTCAATTTTGCATACATTGAGATTTATTCTTTGTACTTTAAAGTTTTATGCTTTTTGACAAATGCATAACATATTCCATTTTTTAACAGCATGTCATCAACCATGACATGATACAATCAATCATTAAAGTAGCCTAGAGAATAGTTTCACCAGTCTAATAAATTCCTTCTGCTTATCCTAGTCATACCTTTTCCCCACCCCTGATCCCTGGCCACAACAGGTATTTTTACTGTCATTATAGTCTTGTCTTTGGAGAACGTCAAATAAATTGGATCATATACTATGTAACCTTTTCAGACTGGCTTCTTTTACTTAGAGCCAAGCATTTAAGATTGATTCATGTTTTTGTGTGCCTTCATAAGTAAATCTTTTGGTTGATGAATAGTGTTCCGTTGTTGTTGGACCACAGTTTGTTTATTCATTTGTCTCTTGAAGAACATCTTCGTTGCTTCCAGTTTTGACCAATTATTAAATAAGCTGCCACACCCATTCATATGCAAGTTTTTTTTGTGGGCATAAGTTTGCAAATTAGTTCAATGTGTACCTAGGAGTATCAAGAATTTGTTCAGCTTTGTAAAAAAAAATAAACTGACAAGCCATCTTTGAAAGTGGGTGTACTACTTTGCATTCCCAACAGCAACAAATGAGAGTGCCTGTTGTTCCTTGTTGCCAGGAATTGGTATTGTCATTATTTGGATTTT